AGGAGAAAGATGTAATCTGACTCCATTGCGTCAGAGGACATCCCTGACGGACAGACGCGTTCCTAAAGGCCCAAATCTTCCAGTGTCTTCATGGCATTGGAAGAATACTGCAAAAGCTGGGTGAGGAAGAAAGGTAATTCAGCCCAGAGGCACACAGGGACTGGAGCTGGCTGCATCATGAATCCGATAATGGTCAAGTGACCGATTCAGCTCTTCATCTGGCAGAGGTCAAGTGTGAAGCCAGCGTTTGTGGGCTGTGGTGTTCTCAGCCATGGTAACAGCACCCTCTGATGCAAGCAAAGGAGCAGTTTCTGTTCTATTTGCCTACAGAGCTGCTGGGGAAGGCAGACGTTCTGTCACTGAGACTCTAAAATGTTGGTCACATGGGTCACATTGCTCTGTTAGCATCCTTAACCGGATCTTATGACTCAAAAGGTAAGTAATGTACAACCATTAAGGACGAGGCGGTATTGCAATTGAGGGCTTCCGAGTGTGACCGATTCTACTGACCGTTCTACCTTAGACACAATGAGTCATTGGACTGGAGAAGGGGGTGGCTCAGTAGTCAAGATCACTTGCTGCTCTTCAGCGGATCCAGCTCTGGTCCCCAGCTTCTACATTAGGCAGCTCACAACCACTTTAACTCCAGATCCAGGGGATCTGATGCCATCTTCTGGCCTGTGCAGATACCTGCTTACATGTGGTGTACATACACAAACACATACAGACACATAAAATGTATATTAACCTTTTTTTTTTTTTGAAAAAGAAAAGTGTTGAATAATAATTCTTCAAAGGTCACGGCTCAGAGGACCTCTTTGGGTCCGTGTGCATGTTTGTAGATTCATCAGTTTTTTTTACTCGTTCAGCGATTCCTTGTTCACGAATGCAAGCATTTAAGCGGTTGAGCATTTGTTGAACAGACATTAGCTGAACACTAAACAAGATAACAGTGTGCTGTGTCGAAGAGGAGTATATGAAAAATCAGGGGAAAGCAGAGGTCAGGAGACGGGCAGTCTGCCTTCGGAAAACTGTATTCTGAAAGCCAATCTAGCATCCCCATAATTGCAAAATAGTTCCGTATTCTTTGGGTCTCATGGACAATGCAGATTCCGAACACTACCTGCTGTGCCCTGGACGTACAAATTGGATGCAAATGGGCAGACGTGTACAGAAGAGCATCCCAAAAGGCTTTGGGGGCGGGGAAGACATTCACACTTAAATGCGTTGCGCAACCTCTCTTCAGAGCTCAGCCATATTAGGCTTGCTGATCTGAGCAAGGACCACGGTTTGTTAGAGGGCACCGCGGTTAGAGTGGAATGTGACTTATTCCTCAACTTGAGTCTCTCTTCTCACCTTCTGTGTGTCACAGAGCCTGAAGAAAAAAGAACCGAAGAAAAGAAACTTCTCCAAAACTGTTTTTGCTTTAGCAGCATTGGGACTGGAACCCAAGGCTCCAGAGGAGCGCCATACCACTAACCGGGTCCACATTTTTTTTTGTTTTGTTTTATTTTGCTTTGTTTTAAGTAAACAGGAAGTTGGGGGTGAAGTTACTGGTCTTCATAGGATGAGCGAGGAATAAGGCACTAAAACAGATCATGGAGTCCTGATTTCGGGGTGAATGAGATTAGACTTCCTATATTACACAACACAGAAATTCTTGAATGCTGAGTTGAGTGTGTGTGTGTGTGTGTGTGTGTGTGTGTGTGTGGTGTGTGTGTTTGCTGAGCTAATCTCCTGATTAGGGGAGCTATACTGAAATGGGATAATGATATTTTTTCTAATTATAGAAATGGATCTAATGCACCAGACATATTAAGGTCACTGGTTTATTTTCAACTTCCTTTGTGCTCCGTGCCTAACGCTTCCCCCAGATTATTGTTTTAACAGTATTACCAGGGATGTTAGGTGTACACTTAGCAAGCTGTTGTTTCACCAACATTCAGTGTGTCCAAACACAAACAGCTGACTTGCACGGCTTGCTCTCTGACCAGAACTGATATCCTTCCCCTCGTCCCTCAGTAAATCTTCCTCATGTTTCCTGTGATACACAAGGTCAAAGAGTCGGTGGTTCTTTCTTTTAAGAGCCTGCTCGACATGGGTTTTTGACATTTCTCCGCAGCTCAGACACCTTCCAAGTTAGAGTTTAATAATATCTTGACCCATAACCTTTTGATTCAAAATTGGTTTTGGCAAGAAATCAAAAGTAGAAGAGTGTCTATATTAAATATTGATTTTTTTAAAGACCTTTTATTTCTTGCCCTTTCTATTTCTTTTTTTTTTTCCTCAGAAGATTAAAGAAGATAACAAAGGGTAAATAGCCTTTTAAAACGCCACCCATTATGTCCTTTTTCCCTTTAGCTTATGTATCCATTTTTATTTGTTTGCTTGTTTGTTTATTTATTTATTTATTTTACTCTCTAGCATGTAATAGTGTCACTTAGGTAAAGTTTAATCTCACAACTACAAATAGGTACTAAAAACATTTTTACTAAAATGAATTAACTTACTAATTTGATTTTGAGATACTCTATCAAGGAAGATTTTAATCCAAAACCAAACACAATTTGAAGAAATAAGTTTGGAAAGAACCTTATTTGTCGTATCATCATCATCATCATCATCATTGTCATTATTGATATTTGGTTTTAAAAGAAAAAAATCTCGCTATGCATCACAAATCGGCCTCATGTTTTTAATCCTCCTGCATCTGAACCTCCAGGGTACTGAAATTACAGGTGTGTATCACTGTTCCCAATGTATTATTTCTAAATGATACAGTTACATTTCCATTGCCCACTGTACTAGTCTTATTTCCTTTCCTGTGATAGAAAACATCCTGACCCAAAGGCAACTTAGAGAGGAGAGGCTTCATTTGGTTTCTGATTCCAGGTCATACTCCATGAGTGTGGGGACGTCAAGCCAGGCACTGGTTATTTCCTAGGCACGGTCAGAACACAGAGAGAATAAATGCTTGGGTTTTTGCATCTTTTATTGCTTGCTGTCTTCTCACCAACACAGTTCAGAGGGCAGGCGTAGAGGATGGTGCCGCCCACTTTCTCAGTGAATCTGCCCAACTCAGTCAAGAAAATCTCTCTCACCCATGTTCACCAGCAACCCAATTAGACAATCCCTTTCTAAGAGTCTATTTCCTGGTGATTTGGGAGTTGTGAAACTAAGGAGCAGAGACAGAATTTGGCAATAAGGACCAGTATAATCTACTGTCCACTGAGCTCTTTCGTTCACCAGACACCGAGGCATACTGATCCTTGCCAGGCCAATGCTGCTACTGTGTGCTACCATGGTTCCACTCCAGAGCCATATTCATAAGTGGGGCAGGGTTTGCAAATTAAATTATATGATACAAATGGCTCCTAGTCCAACAAAATTGCTTTTAACATGGGAAGGGAGGTGAGAGGGCTCTTCTAAACATGTATGCTGAGACAAGGCCAAGCAAAAACATCACACAAAAGTTCTCATGAAGGAGCCAGGATGGGAGACTCACTGAATCCTGCCACGCTGGCCCTCTATCACCATAGAGGTTCGACTTCTAGAATTCAGAGAAAGTCAATTGCACTGGCAAAGCTATGCAAATTGACCCTTGGTATGAAGAGTTGACGGCCATCATGCTTGCCGCTGCTGTGTGCATTGGAGAATGAATTAGGAGATCGTCAGCACAGACCGTTTGAACCTGAATGTGTCTCCATCAATCCTCTGTTCAGCTCTCCTGAATTTTGAATCCAGAAATAACAAATACTGATGTGATGGTTTGTATACACTTGGCACAGGGAGTGGCATGATGAGGAGGTGTGGCCCTGTTGGAACAGGTGTGGCCTTTTTGTTGGAGTAGGTGTGTCACTGTGGGTCCTGGGCTTTAAGATCCTCATCCTAGCTGCCTGGAAGCCAGTATTCTGCTAGCAGCCTTCAGATGAAGAGGCAGAACTCTCAGCTCTGCCTGTGATGTGTCTGCCTGGACACTGCCATGCTCCCACCTTGATGATAATGGACTGAACCTCTGAACTTGTAAGCCAGTCCCAATTAAATTTTGTTCTTACTAGAGTTGCCTTGGTCATGGTGTCTGTTCACAGCAGTAAAACTCTAACTAAGACAATCGAACTAACCTCTCAAAAGTTCTCAAACCTTTAGATTTTTTATCTATCTTTTAATTTTTTCAGGCTTAGCACATGCACAAGAGATTAATGAACCCTTCTCCATCCTTGTCCCAACCATTTGGGTGTTGTATTTAGCGAGAGGTTACCATCGGAAAGTTCAGAAGTCTAGGTTGATGATCGGAAAATAAAAATGACTATCAATTTCCTTGAAATTGCAAAGTTGAAATAAATCCAGGATTTGTTCTGACTGCAAAATTTGCTTTCTGTAAAACATCTTAAATACCAAATAAGCAGTGTTGTGCTGGAATCTAATTGGTCCTGTCCCAGGATGCCATATTACAATCAGCTTTTATTAATTGGATTAGGGATTCAGTGAGAACAGCAGCTGGTGGCGGCTTTGCGGTTACTGTATGTTTCTATAATCCTTGTGGCAGAAATCATGTAACAATAACCAAGGGTGACTGTGACCGGGCTCCAATATTTTCTTGGCTTCTTTTAGGGAGGTGTGTGTGTGTGTGTATGTGTGTGTGTGTGTGTGTGTGTCTGTGTGTCTGTGTGTGGTATACACTTGAGTTCACATTGTGGGAGCTCATTGTTGGGAGGAGGGGTTGTGTGCACAGGGAGTCAAAGGGCAGACATTGGATACTTCCTATCCACTCTTCATCTTCTGCATTGAGGTTGCCCATGGGGTTCTCTGTCCCCACCTCCTGCGTACCAGGATGACCCAAGACCACTTGGAATTTACATGGGTTCTTGGGATGTGAAACTAGGTTCTCAGGCTGTACAGCAGATGCTCTACCTGCTAAGCTGTCTCCTCCACCACTCCCTTAATCATCTTCCTTGACATTTTAAAATCATAAAAGCTAAAGTCTCTTTCTCTGCCTTCAGGCTTTCTCCGGCCATCTTTTTGTACCTGATCAACATCATGCCGTCCCTGTGGCTCCTTGAAATGCACCATGGAAACCAGGTATCTGTTTCTAAGAAGACGGCAACTTTGAGTAGTGATCCACGTTCAGAATAGGTCATGGTTTGTTTCTGTTATGAGCTTTTCCATGGGGATTGGAATTAAGAATTTAAGAAGTACAGGGACAAAAGACAGTGACTCCATGATCTATCAAAACATTAATGAAATAATGAAATAATAGCAATTACCTCTGAGTTACGATTACTTGACTAACACTTCTTGTCGGTGATATCTTAGTTTACTTAGTTTGCCATGATTAGATTAAAGCCATGACCAAGAGCACCATGGGAAAGAAAGGGTTTATTTGGCTTATAGGTCTGATCACAGTCCATTGAGGGAAGCCAAGGCAGACATTTAAACAAGGTAAGAGCCCAAGGCAGGAACTAAAGCAGAGGCCATGGAGGGATGCTGCTTACTGGCTTGCTCACCGTGGCTTGTTCAGCCTGTTTTCTTGTACAATCTAGGACCAGCTGCCCAGGAGTGGTACTGTCCATACTGAACCAGGCCTTCCTATATCAATAATCCATTAAGAAAATGCCTTCCAAACTTTCCTATAGGCCAGTCTGATGGGGCCACTTTCTCAATTGAATTTCCCTCTTCTCAGGTGATTCTACCTTGTGTCAAGTTGACCAAAAGTGATCTTTGTCTAAGATCCACCCTCCCGTCCCTACAACACACTAGCTATGGCTCATGGGGGAATGTGAAAATGATATATTTACCCATTGACTTTTGTATGCACATGTGTGTATGTAGTGTGTGTGTTGGTCTGGTATATGTGCATATGAATATCTATCTATAACTGTGTTCTTCCTGCAGAAGTGAATGGAAGACACAAGATGTTCTCTGTCCCTCTCTTCTGAATCTCCTCAAGGCAAGACCTGTCCCTGTATCTGTCAGTAAGCCCCTGCGATCCTCCTGTGTCTGTCCCTGTCCCTGCCAGATCTGGAGACATAAGAATTGTACAACAGAGCTTACCTTTCATATGGTTGTTGGGATTTGCATTCTGATCCTCACTCTTGGACATCAAATACTTTTAGTCACTGAGCCATCTCCCTGTCTCTGTGAATGTGACTTAACTCCTGTATCTTTCGTGAATTTCAAGAAGCTATGTTCTGAGACTCACTATGCTAAGGCCTCGTACTGGCATGCTTGGAGGAAGATATTTCTAAGATACGTAAAAGCAAAAATGAAACTAAATTAAATAGAAGGCCTTTAGCTGTGCCCACATAGATGCATTCAAACTTCTAGGGAGCATTGAAAACACAGGGCGAGGGGATTCCAGGAGACAAGATTTGGGGGCTTGTTGAGACACTGTAAAACAGAAATCTCAGGATTGGAGAGAAAGCTCATCAGCTGTAAGGAGCTCTTGCTGCTCTTGCAGAGGATACGAGTTCAGATCTCGGCACCCACATCTGGCTGTAACAAATTCCAGATCTCTAATGGCCTCTTTGGACCTCAATAGGCACACCAGCATGCAAGTACACACACACACACACACACACACACACACACACACACACACAAACACACACACTAAAAACGGAACATTCTTTTAGAGCCCTGATATTAAACATGAGAGAGTATATTATGAAGCCTATCCCAGGGAAAGGGATCGTATATATCCAACCACACATGACCATGGTTTCCAATCCAATCCCCATTTGTAAAACAGCTCCCATCGTTCAGGCTTGTTTGTTTCCTTGAGTCACACTCTAGCCTGGTATTTGCTCTGTAGCCCAGGCTAGACCGGAACTTGTAGTTCTCCTCCTGCTTCACCTTCCCAAGTTCAGACATTCCCCAGGCTACATGGCTTATATCACATTTTAAATATTGACCTGTGCCCTCCATGGACTTGTCCGGCTCACGGGCTCAAGACTAAGCCCGTGTCATTTGTTTTGTTAAATCTCCCATACAAGCCTAGGAGGCTTCATTGATAAAATGCTTTAGGCAAGGTCTGCTCCAAATTGACCCTGTATGGATTTCTTTGTTACAGCTGTTATTTCATATATCAGGGTTGAGTCTCCAGTCTACATGTAACTTTATCTGAAAGGGCTTCCTTCAAACTTGAGGCACACAGAAAGCAGTTTACCTTTGTGGATATCTTTTGAAGAAACTCCCAAGCAGATATCAATCCTTTAGCCGTGAAGAAAACATTTCTCCTCCTCAGGTCTTGTGGTGAGACTCACTAACGTCTGAGGCAGCCTCGATGTCTGCGTTAAAGAATGTTTGTAGCCGTAGATTGGTTGATTCAAGTCACCATGTGTTTGATTTTAAAAAAGACCACAATGAGCCAGAGGCCACTTGAATCTTCTTTCAGAACTACAAAAATAAGCTGTGGTGATTTGACTCAATTTCTTCTCTAACAGATCTGATCATACAACATGGCTATCACCCACAATAACAATTCATTTCTTTCAAATGCTTTCATTATATAAATGTATTACACAACTAATTGCTACACGGGTCAAATCCCATTGCAACCGATAGCATGCAACCAAAACTTCTCTTTTTAATAACGATAATAATAATGACAATAATAAAGCGTTTCGAACCTCAGGCAGAACATCTGTGATTTTTCTGTTACGAAATAAATCGAACCTTTGTCACTGGGATTTGACAATGAAAATTGAAATCAATGTCTAGAGATTGAAGCAGTCAGGACAAGCAGAGATAGAAGTCAAAAAAGAGAAAGATGAGAATATTGGGATTATCTTTAAAGAAAGAGCTGGCATTGCAGAACTGAAGGTGATGCAGAAATCCACTCTGTCCGTTCCTGATAATCACTTTTGCTGCATGGGACCTGATAATTTAGAGGGTTTTCAATTAGATGTCCTCACTAAATTTAAGGACCCCATTCATTAAGCACAGTGCAGCCATTTCTGTTTTATAGGGAAAAAAATCCTGGGGCTTAGGAAGCTTAAATTTAGAATCAACACATAGTCCAGAAGAGTCATTTACTTTTCATTGATGGGACCACAGAGATGGACCCATGGCTAAGAACATGCTCTGCCCTTGCAGAAAACTCGAGTTCAAATCCTGACACCCAATGGACCCAAACCTTCCTGTAACTTCAGCTCCAGGAATTCTGATACTCTTTCTGGCCTCTTCAGTCACCCACAGGCACGTGACATAAAAACACCGAGACACACACACACACATATTCGTCATTAAAATAAAATGTACATCTTAATTTCTGATACTCCTTATTCATTTACATCCCAGGTGTTCTGGATGGCCAATTCATATCTTCATTCCCGACATGATATGCTCTACACAAGTGTAAGCAAACTGTCCTGAGGATGGCAATTCTAATCCGTGTGAGCTCTTCTTGTGACAGAGCACACTGAGAGTGACGGAAGGGGCCTGCTCTCTGTGACGTCCTTCTTATGTTTGAGCTGAAGGGATGCGCTAGGCTTTGACGACACAGCTATACATATGTAACATGCTGGTACCAACATGACCTTCATAAAATCCCTTGCATGATGATTACTGAAATGACAGACCCAGAAGCTGAACAGGTCAGGTTAGGGTTAAGGATTCAAACTTGTATGTGTGGTGGCCTTAATGTGGCGAACAGGAAGGTTTAGTCTTAAATGCAGTAGCGGGAGAGCAAAGGAGCCCAATTACCATGATGCTCATGAAAAGTCCTTCGCTTCCAAATTAGAAAGCACTGCAGTCGAGGGTGACATTTCCCATAAATAGCAAGGTGTTTGTGGAGTTTTAGAGATAAGGGGATCAGATCCTATCACCTCACCAGTTTTAATATACAGTATATTTTCATGCCTATAAAAAAAAGGTGGTCACAATTTGTTCCTAGTGACAATTATGTACTTAAGCTCACAAACGTACACTGTCAATGATGATTTGGGGTCTGGACAAAAGATGAAGTGTTTTGTCACCATTATCTCCTCATGAAACCTTAGTGGTATGTATACATACACATGTGCACACGTAGGTGTGCAGACACAACATGCAATCGCGTGCACGGTCACACAGATCCGCACACATGCACATACGTGCACATGAACATACACATCCATAAACATACACACATGTATAGGCATTCACGTATGCTACACACATGAGCATCCATGTACACACAACTGTGCACACACATGTAAGCCCATGCACACACATGTGCATCCGCACAGACACCTGCACTTTCACCCCACATGCACGTACACACGTACGTGCTCCTAGTTATTCATGCTACTTCACACGCAACAGGAGTCACTTGGACTCAGAGCAGAAAATAATGGCTTCTTGGCAGATTTTTTTTAAATCAACTTATCAAATGGTTTATGGAATAAATAAATGGCATGGTATTGAGAATAATTCAGAAAAAATTATTTCTTATGGCTTGAGTTCTTTTTTTTTCTCAATAGATTCTCTTAAGTAATATGTAGTCACGGAGTATGGTGGTGATGGCGATGATTGTGGTGATGGTGGTTGCTGGTAGTAGCTCTCTTCCTCTGTCTGTCTGTCTGTCTGTCTGTCTGCTTTCTCTGTCTCTCTCTCTCTCTTTGTCTTTATTTCTGTCTCTTTGTCTCTCTCTGTGTCTCTCTGTCTCTGCCCCTGTTTCTTTCTCTTCCTCTGTGAGTGTGTGTATGTGTGTGTGTGTGCGTGTATAAAACATGTCAACACTGCAGATGCTTAGAAAGAGTCTCGCACTCCCTAAAGCAGGTCTGTGAAGAATGCTCCCACACTGGTTACACTGTCAAGGGTTGTCTCTTTGTTCCCTTATACATTTGTTTCCATCTCTTATTTTATCTCAGTTTCCCAGTATCTGTCTGGATCAAATTACAAACGGTTTGGTTGCCGACACTCACGTACAGAAATAAAGAAAGGAAAGAAGGAAATCATCTTCTAGGTCAATTCTCAAATTTCCCATAAGCCTAAGTTGGCTACTATGGCAACACTGGTGTCTGGGACACCAGACATACTGACCTTTTGTTTGTGCCAGTGCCTGGCCTGAAGGGTGAAAAGTGATTGGATCATTTATTTAAGTGGAATGCTATTTTTAGAGAGAGAGTGTTCTTGGTAAGAAACAAACTCATAAAATAAACGCTTCGACAGGCTTGTATGTATTTTCAGAGTCTGTATCACAAATTGTTCCAACAAAGGTTCAAGAAAGGGACCCCAGTAACTCACCAACAGATTTCACAGCTTTCTAAGATGGCTCAGCCTCTATCCTTCCATGCTACAAAATAGGGAGACAGGCAGTGAGCATTCTTCTTGGGTGTCTTTCACCTCGTATTCTGGTCCTGTGATGTTACGGGGTCTCTGTAGATGTCTCACATCTTTATAATCTCTTGCATGGGGTGAAACTGCTTTGCTGTTACTTTGTTGTGATGGTTTGTGCATATCTGCTCTCAATTCTTAGTATTGCAGCGCCCAGTCTGAGAGAATGGCACAGAACTTCAGCAGAAGAGGAGATGTCAATCAAACCCTGTCATCCCACAGAGCCACCAATGGAATGGGGAATATCCTTGAGCTGGTGAGAGTTTTCCCCAGCATTTATGGGAAGTTTCCTAAAGTTACCAAAGCTTATGGGACAGGAATTGCAAAAAAATAATGTATTTCATTCATTAAACTCATACTTCCCTCATCAGAGGATGTACTTTACATTAATGAACTTATGCCTTAGGAACCCGCTCTCAGCATATGTACAGAAACAAACCAAAAGGGTATTACAGCATATTAACTATATACAAATGTATGTGCTCTAGTTATATGCCTATATTTTTAAATACAGTTATGTATAATAGTACACATAACTCTTTCATTCATACACAACCCTCCCTCTTATCACATCTGGCACCTTGATGATATATTAGAAGAACATCTGTATAGACTTGCAGCAGGGTATCCCACAGGCTAAGAACTCACTGTATGGCTGATACTGACCTTGAACTTCTAATCTTCCTACCTCGACCTTTCATATGCTAGGATTATAGGCACATACCCACATGCTAGGATTATAGGCACATACCTCCACATCAGGTGTGTGTGGTGCTGAGGATTGGACCCAGGACCTCATGCATACTAGGCACCATGTCATCTGAGCTATAACCACAGTCCCAATGCTTTTAACCAAAGATTGGTGAACCTACATGGATATGTCATTGTCACCAAATGTCATAGTTTAATTAGATTTCACTTTGGATATTGTGCACTCTATCGGTTTAGACAAGTGTATTATAGTCTATCTATCTATCTATCTATCTATCTATCTATCTATCTATCTATCTATCTATCATCTATATGGCATCTACCTACAGATCTATCATCTAACATCTTTATCATCTACTGTCTGTCTATCTACCTATCATCTATCATCTTTCTAACATTTAGTTATCTGTTTGTCTGTCCAACAAACTATATAACCTATCATCCACAGTACCTATCCAAAATGTGTGCTTGCCTGTCCGTGAACCTCCATTTTCTACCCTCCCCAATCACTTTTAAGAAGGGAATCCCCTTCTCCTTCCTCCTCTCCCTCCTTCTTTCCCTCCATCTCCCGCTATCTCGGTGGTTCTCAACTTGTGTGTCGAGACCCATTTGGGGGAGTTGAACGAGATTTTCATAGGGAGCTTCTAAGACCATTGGAAGGAACAGATATTTACAATATGGTTAGTAACAGTAGCAAAATTCGGGTATAAAATAGCAACAAAAATAATTTTACGGTTGGGGCTCACCACAACATGAAGAACTGCATTAAAGGGTACTCTCCTGGTCTCTTGCCTTTTACGGAGTAGGAAATTTTAATTTTCGTGAAGTTCAGAGTACTAATTCTTTCTCGGATCCTTGCTTAGATCTAAAGCCACCGCCACAGCACACACCGTGCTGGCTGTCCTTAACCCAAGCCGTTGACAGCTTTGCATTTTATGTCTAGTTCTTTGAATTTTGGGAAGAGCGCAAGTGGTATAGCCCTACGCAATTGATATTTATTTATTTATTTGTTTGTTTGTTTTAATTTATTTATTTGCCAGCACGTGGATGTCTAGTTAGTCTAGCACCATTTTTTAAAACAATTATCTCATCTCCCCGAAATACATTTGTTAATACATTGAAAATTTCTTGTGGGTCTGCGGCGTCTGTTTCTGGGTTCTCTGTTCTGGCCCGCAGTTCTATTTGTCTATACCTTTTACCCAGCACTCACTGTCTATGTAGTAGCAGCAGTCAGCCCTAAAAGCTGCTAGGCACTGGGGCTCCATCTTTGTTCTGCTTTCATGCTAGTGTGAGTTAGTTTGCATATTTTACCTCTCCTCATAAACTCCAGACTCAGTTATTTACTCACCAAAGAGCTTGACAGCACTACAGTTGGGCTGATATCGAACACATGTGAAGTCATGGACCACTGGCATGTTGACAATGTTCAGTCTGCTTACCCATGAGCATGAGACCGGTCTCCAGTTAGTCCATGTTTGACTTCAGCCTTCAATGACTGTGCACATAGCTCAGAGCTAGAGCACATGCCTCATAGGTGCAAGGCTGGGTTTGATTCCCATAAAGCAGAGAGACTAATTTAACTCCTCAGCATTCAGTATTTTTATCATATATGTATGTGTGTACCTGTCATATATATGTACATATACATATATGTGTGTTCATATATATATGTGCTAATATATGTATTTTAACAGAGGTGCACATGTGTATGTACTTTAATATTTTGTTAGATTCATAAGTAACTTTTATGTTCCACAGTGACAGTGCAAGCAATACTGAATTTTAACTCCAGTATCTATTTCTTTACCAGTATATAGGAAGTTGAATATCAAATTTTATTCTACATTTTGTTTATTAGGTCAGAGAAAGTTTTTTCTTTTTTCTCCCACCAGTTCTTCAAGACTTTCTACATATAAAAATATGTATGAAGTCTGGACAAAGACAGTTGTATTTCTTTTTTTCCAATGAGTACAACTTTTCTTTTCTATATTATATATAATGTTTATATACATATATATATGTATATGTTTATATATGTATATATATATAATATTTATGTAATAGAAAATGATATTTGACAAAACAGAGTGGTAGGGTGACTATTTTCCTTCACATATCTTCTATTCATCAAGTTGGTAATGATCACTTTGAAAATAGTTTACAGAAGTGACTCAAGACAAACAGAGGTCTCTACCACAGAAGGGAGTTTTCTAAAATAAGTCCCAGAGTAGAAAAGAGCGATCCACCCATTATTGTCTGAGTTTCAGTTAGAACTTACTTGTGTCATCATGGACAAGTCACTCAGATTTTCATCATAACCAAAACAGTCATATTTATCATGATAATGTTTTACCCCTGTGAGTTAACTGAGTTGGATGTGAGGCCACACAGGAGAAATGTCAAGAGGTGACAAAAAAAAATTCTTGATCTTCCTGCGTGGATTTGATCAGTACTTAGTCATTTCTCTTGCTTTGTTCTTGTGTACTTGGTATGAGATCCAAATGTCAATTTTGCACATAGTAATTATGCTGCTTGCATAGATCACCTGGAGCCATTATCCTGTCTACTTGTGACATAGATCTTGTAGTCTTTAAATATTTTAGTCTAAGTCAATAGTAACATACTTTAAAATTTACTTAGAAGTTAAATGGGAAGGGTATTTCCTCCAGGATATACTGTGAGATCTAACATTTTGTTCAAACCTAAGAGTAAGGGCAGGCTATTCTTTTTTCTGGCTGAATTATTGATTATTGAATAAAATGCTAATTATTCAGAGTAAAGAAAGGAAATATTACAATTGTTCTCTTCCATTGAATAAACAGATAAACACCACTTTTTCTAATTAAAGGAAGATTGTAAAAATTCCAATGTTAATAAATTCAGATGCTTAAATCAGTAAAAGAAAAATATTGGATTGTTTTTATAATTTTAGTATGGAACTAATCAAAGTTTGTTATGCGTCATACTTTATTAAGGACTATAATAAAACACCCAACGATTTTTAAAACATTTATTAAATTGATTCTTTAAATATCACAAGGCACCATCTTATTAGCCGTGTAAGGTTTAAATTATCCACATATTAAGTAAGTCCTGCTTTAAAAACCACATTGTATTTCTTTGTAGAGTGTTTAGCTAAAAGGAGTGTCATTTTCCTCAGTTATTAAACAATGACTCTTGGAAAATGCTGACAAAGACACACTGTTTACCAAGAGCTGAAAACCATGTTGAAATAGATAATCATTTACACACTGATGGTTCCTAATCGTGATGTCTCTGTTCCACAGGCCAGAGGCTTTGTCGACAACATATCCATGGTATGCGAACCGGTCTGGACCTTAGGACTTCACCAGACACTCCTGCTAATATTAATCATTGGACGGTGGCTTCTCCCCATTGGAGGCACCATCACTAGAGACCAACTCTCAGAACTTCTTCTGATGTTTGTGGGGACGGCGGCTGACATACTAGAGTTCACTACTGAGACTCTGAAGGAAAATGATGTCAGGTAAGGTCCTGATTCAAGATCAGTATCACACACTTGGCTTGATGTTCTGTTATTTGTACCACCACCTGGCTCTATGTTCCACTGTCTGTACGTAGCATATGCAAGGCTTTTAAAGGCAGAGCTCATGGGATGACTTATTTAGTGAATTGTTTTCTATGCAAGTCCCAGGACCTGAGTTGGGATCCAGAATTCCCATGTAAGCACCAGGCATGTTGTTGTGTGGACCTGAGTTGGGATCCAGAATTCCCATGTAAGCACCAGGCATGTTGCTGTGTGTCCGTGTGTGTGTCTAGGATCACAGCACTGGAGATACAAAGACAGGAGAATCTCTAGGGCTCACTGGAAAACTGTTGAGACTGAATCAGTAAATCCTGTGTCCAGTGAGATTAAGGTGGGGGTTATAGATGGAAACTTCCCACGTCAAACCTCTGGGCTTCATATGCACTTAAACACATGTGCAGACACATCAGTACACATAAGAACATGCATGAACATGTATTCACATATACATCACATTTTATATATATATGTATATATGTATATGTGTATGTATATATACATACACACACACACACACACATATATATATATATGTACACACACACTAGGGACCAATCTTCATAGTAAAAAAGGAAATGCAGGAAGGAGACTTGGTCTGAGAGAGAGAGACAGGATATATTCACCTTGGGTAGAACAGAAGAGACCCGTGTAGTTACACTGTAAGTCCAGGAGGATCATGGCAGAATCATAGTGACTACAGGTATCTGGAGACCCTCGGGTATCTCTTTCTTCTTCAACCAAGTGTCAGCAGTAGATCCAATAACACTATTTCCTCCGAGATCACATAGTTCCAAGAGCCATGGAGACACCATTCCTTTCTCCAGATGAAGAATTTACATTTCCCGGTGAGAAGAAGAACGGAGCAGATGAAGTTTTATTATACAGAATTTTATTTTCAGTCAGTTTTGTTCAAAGCGCCCAAAGGCTTTCTGGTGGAGATGCCTATAAATTAAAACTTATTGAGTTGGTACTTTTAGTTTTGCCACCAGCAAGTAAACTCAGAATCCATGATCACATCTGTTTATGGAACTGCTTTCTTCCCATTAGGGATTTGAGTCTCCGTGCCTGGATGTACTTTAAGCTTGGGTTGTTTTGTATGAAGCTATAAAAATAAATTGGAATGAGGCTGGCTTTTAATGCTACGGTTTACTTTTTCCCACTCTCCTCAAACAACAAAACATAAAGCCCGAGCAAAACACACCAACTTATTAAATAAGCCTAATTTCTCAATCACAGTGTGACTCATTATTTGTAAGCAAGAGGTTTTCAGGAATTGTTTTATGCATACTAATTTTTCTTTTAGTTTATTAAGTCGACATCATTTTTTTTCTGAGGTATCAAATATGAACTGGAGGGCTGTAGTCACGGTGTTTATTTTTGTGTGGTGGTTTCAATGCCTTATGGTTGATCAGCGTTTTACATTGTATAGTAATTTCAGATACATCAAGATCATTGTAATACAATGTCATTACTAAATGAACGTGAATGTATCACGATGGCTTCCCTGAAATTATGAACGTGGGTAGTTACAGAGACCTGACATCTATCTGTAGATGGATGCATGTATGCTAAATATCCACAGAGCAGAGAGACAACGCAGGACAGTAAAGGGCTCAGAGAGGGCTTTGTTTTATGTAGCTAGTCATAAAATGAGTGAAATGCCAAACCCAGTTATGTTAATGGGCTCTGCGCGTCTCATCCAGAAGTATCATCAAAGGGTAATGGATCCCGTGTTTACCAATAAATGTTGATTATTAAATAAGTTTATTTAATTGCTTGACCCATAAAAAAAGGCACCCTTGGAAGTCACTTGCAACAGTTTAATTGACTAAGAACTGATTTGTTATTTAACATGTGCCAGGTACCGAGTTAGGCAGAGCCCGGGGAGCAAAACCGTAAACAAGTTATGAACCAAAGATCAACGCAGTTCAGCCAAAACAGGACTGTTTCGGTCCAGCAAGAATTTAGGAAGCACTCGATGTTTCTAAGAATCATGATCTCCCCAAGGTTTTTCTGCCACTTACAAGTCAATCCGAACACTTTCTGAGTATATATTTTGGAAATTTTGAACTTGCGTTTCATGCAGGTTAATGCTTAATGAGGCTGAATAAATTAGAATAGGTCCTTGTATCTGCAGGCTTCTCATCTGTGGATAGAAAGTGTTCTAGAAATGACTCCAGGTTTATTATAGCATCATAGTATGGATGTTATGTTATGCTAATGTTATACAACATTTTCTAAGAACTTGAGTATCCTGCAAACATCTTCCCATAGAAAATATAGGATTTTTGTTACAGATTCTATTTCTAAATATCTTTACATATTGTTTTCAACTGCATTTTCTCACATAGAAATGATTTTGTTTCAGTATTTCCGGATTGTGCCAGTGGACTTTTGTGACTTCCCATCTGCCCCCTTGTACCTTATAATTCAAATGCACCTCACCCCATGGTCAAGTCCCACAATGTATCTAGAGATTTTCCTCTCTTCAAAAAGCTTGCTTCCAAGTGCTACGTTCCTGTCTCAAGTCCCACATATATTGGAAAAAATAATACCAAAAATATCTTGTGTGTGTGTGTGTGTGTGTGTGCACGTGTGTATGCATGTGCACATGTGTGTGTCTCTGTGCCTGTGTGTGTGCACATGTAAATACATGTATGTGTGTGGGTTCACATGTGTATGCGTGTGTGCATGTGTGTATACATGTGTGTGTCTGTGTGGGTTCACATGTGTATGCATGTATGCATGTGTGTCTCTGTGTTTGTGTGTGTCTGTCTGTCTGTCAATCTGTTCAGAAGACAAGATTAGATCCCATGGAACTGTAATAACAGATGGCTGATAGTCACTATGTGATGCTAGTAATTAAGCCCAGGTCCTTAAATCCTTAACTGATGAGCCCTCTTCCAGCATCTCAATGATGTCTTATGAGTAACAGAGTTCTCTGTAATACAATGTACTGGTTTGTCTCTTTTAGGTCATGTATCTTGTTAGGTCATGTATCTTGTTACCATATGTAGGAAATAAGAACAAATCCAAAATCAATTTCTATCTATGGGACTTTTCATCTCTCTCTCTCTCTCTCTCTCTCTTTCTCTCTCTCTCTCTCTGTGTGTGTTTGTGTGTATGTGTGTTTCCATTTTATTTAATTTTGAGATAAACCTTCAAGTTCAGTATTTTTGGCTTTGACGCAGAATTATTTGTTGTACCAGCTTGGACTAATTGTCTCAAAAATACATATTGAAGATACTCTTTCTGGGTTCAGCTGGTATATTTATTCAAAATCAATTGACCACAGGAATAAGAGCTTCAACGAGGCATGTGTGTGCTTGTCTTCATACCAACCTCACTCTTACAGTGGTTTTGGTAGACACAAAAGCACTGCTACCTAAAAACTATTGCTTCTGGTAACCTAGGAGCTTTACCTAGCCATGTGACTGTGATCATCTTGTTTTACTTAAACAAACAGACAGACAGCAACAAACCAAAACAAACAACAAGCATACAAACGGAAAACCTTGTGGTCTTGCAGGAAATGCGCTAACCTGAATGATTATTTGGGAAGATTCAGAATTACAAATGTGAATGTGAAATGGGAATGTGAAAAATCTGAGCTTGCTTCTGACATGTTTGCCTCCTTTTGGGATCTCGTCCTCCTGCGGGCTTGCCTTGCCCAGCCTTAATATGGGAGGGGGGAGACCAATTTTACTGTGACTTGATATGCCTTGTTTCTTGATTTTCCAGATATCCCAGGGATACCTGGAGTTTTTGAAGGGAAACTGAGGAGGGGTGGATGAGAGGGTGGAGGCAAAGGTGAAGGAGATGAGGGGTGGAGAAAGGGATGGAGGAGAAATTGCTGTTGGGATGTTATATTATATCATAGATACTCTTCAATTCACCTTTGCCTTTCAAGTCCTTTCTCTGCCTTTCTACATGATTCTCTTTAGTCTTTTATTATTTCCTTTATAGTTTTATTATTATTATTATTATTCCTTATATTCTCTCTAGTGGAGTTTCTTTTTTCCTTTTCTTTAATTTCCTTTTCTCATGTTTAGTTGCTTTAGTGGAGCCATTATTTACCTACAAAATGATTTGGTAACACAAAGCTTGCATATGCTGTTCTATCTCCAGGTTTTACTCAATGTTAGATCATCCTATTTACAAGTGAAGACACTTCTGATTGTTGCCAAAGTATACTCCATGAGTTTATTTTTCTTGTCTTATTCCACTATCTTGTAGCCTTCCTCTCCATCAGACAGATACAGTAGAATTGAACACTTCAGTCTTAAGAGAAACATTTTGTCTTTCTCTGTTAAGGGTCCGGTTGCCATTTTGATGGCACAGACTATCATTATAAACTTGAGGAAATGTTTTTTTATTTCTACATTAGGGAGAATGTTTTTCTTATGTGTATTGAATACCATGAAATCTGCCTTTATTGATACTATTTTTATTTTGATTGTCCTTTATTATAAAAAAAAAAGGACTATATTACACTAACTGATCTTCAGATGTTAAACCACTTTTGATGCCGGGATAAATTGAACTTAGTTGTGCTGCATAGACCTTTGTGATGTGGTTTTTGGTCTGATTTGCCAACATTTCTCATTTCTTCCGGCTTGTCCGCGGGGCGTATTGGTCTACAGTATCATCTCTAATGGTGTCTTGTTCCAGCTTTTGAATCCAGATAACAGTGGGTTTTAGAAACATACCAGGAAGCATTCTTTTTATTTCTATTTTCTTAAAATAATTTTTGCATAATTGATATTAATTCTTTCAAGATTTTATAGAATTCCCCAAGGAAGTAATCAGGGCCAGGCCTTTACTTTATGGGAGGTGGTTTCCTTTTCCTTTTCTTTCTCTTCCTCCTTCCCTTCACATCTTTCCTTCCTCATCTCTTCTACTCACTAATTCAATATTATTTCTTCCTCTAGGACTAATTA